AGCATTGCACATTGCCTGTCACAAAGCTGAAGCTCCAAGTGCATTAAACCCAAGGGCTTCCGGTGATTCCTGTAAATTAATCTGAAAGCAGAACTCCAGCCTTCCTTTCAGTCTTGTACAGTTGCACAGACTTCTCTCCTGTGTTGCAATTGTTTATAGCAAGTCTTGTTTTTTGGCCAGAGGACATCCAGCATCATCTAGCACTTTCCTCCCCAGCCTGTCTCTGTCCCATCCCTTTTATCGATTTGGATTTATTACAGGTGCTTATATACGACTGTCAATTTACGCAGCAATTTTACATATACATTGTACATTCACATCATGGAGGTTCAGCATCACATGTGGGCATTACGTAGGGTGGTGTCTAGAAAGTCCCACTCCTCCAGACTGGCATCCCCTTATCAAGCAATTTTAATGTTTACATAACTATTCCCAAGAGCCAGCCCATTGCTTGCATCAGGAGGAATACTAAGGAAGAGTGCTGTAATGCTTTTAGGAAACTGTACAGCACCTTGACAGCTCCTCCCACTAGCCATGATCTGCCTGCACTGCATTGAGTAGCACAAATACCAAGTGATGACATCACCAGTTATAAAATAAGGATGTAATGGGGATTTTCTTTTTCTTTTTTTGTAATAATTTCAGTAGCATGTTGATGAGGGGGATAGGAGGAACCAGGGAAGTCAATGTATAAGCAGACTTACTTTTTCTTTAGGGTTCCTTCAGACGGGGGTGGCACCTGTCCTGCCTACAGGCAGCTTTTGTTATTGCACCTCCATCCGCCCAGATTTGTATGTAGGCAGCCTATAGAGGTGGATGTAGGCACAGCCGCATGTCAGAATTTGACAGCAATGCAGGAGCATCTTCATGACACTGAATGCACACCGTCTGCATTCTGAATAGATGTCAGGTTTTTACTGAAGTCTGTGCCCCCACTTGGGAAATGTACTCTCTGTTTGTCTTGTGACTCTGTCCTCGGTAATGAAGGTAATGGGAAATCCAACATATATTACATTTTCACAAGAATAAAAGTAAACTATAATAACGGGGACACCCTGTCCAGTGACTGCTAAAAAGTTATTTTCCCTAACATAGATTTCTTTTCACTTCTTGGTATGTCTGTAGGACAGAAAATGAAGGGAACTCACCCCAATGATATACATATGGTGAAAACCTGCTTCATTTGAAGTGTTTTTATTTAATCATACCTTTAAGCTGTGTGGATAATTCAGAGAAAGTGGGAAGAGGTTTGCGAGAAATTGTCTCTACAAGCTGATACATTGAATATTCTGTTCTTCTTTTCTGAATCTAGTGTTATTTCAGGTTTGGAATTGCAGTGAACTGTCATTGCACATTTATTGATCTTTTACTACAGCTGGAGCAGCACTGCCGTTTCACACTGGACCCCATAGTGAACGGTGAGGAGGAAAGCTATGAAATTAATTAGGAAAGACGAAGTGTGACTCTTATAAGTTGGTCCCCTGCCTCGTCTTGTCTCTATGTGGGTCGGAGTAGTTGAAGAGCTCAATGGGAGCTTTTTAATTATCATTCTCTGTTTGATCCTACCCAGTTTAATGAGTGGATTGCCGAGGATGGCGCTCGTGTGCCGCAGGAGAGTGATACCTGCCTGCTAATTCCTGATTTACATTTAACAAATTAGGTGATGGAGATGGGAGGTGAATCCCCACTTACAAATTGAGATCTTAAGGTGGAACTTTTACTTTTACAAATACTAGAGGCCATGTTTTTAAAGACCCAGCTAATCCTTTTAGCAGGAACGAGAGACATATAGAAGGTATCAGTCTGTTATTAAAGGGAGATATTCATTTTAATTAAATGTGAATTGTCATGTAACGTCAGTCTCGCTTCCACTCTAAAGTCCTCACCACAGTCGCACACTATCATTATTGTTTCTATACACTTAATTAGTACAGAAGATGAATATGCTGTGTGGGAAATTCAAAGATTTTGTGTAATCTCAAATATATATCCTTCCTTTCAGCCACATTCAGCAAGCTTCTGGGTAGATATGCATCCTTCTCTCTCTTGTTCAGGAATGTATTGGCAGGCTCCAGTGGACTCCGAGAGGGCAGGGCTAGAACCAGAGAACACAATAATTATATTTTTAAAGGATTGGATACAGGGCTGTATAAAAAATGGGATGATGGCAGCTGTGAGATTTTCACTAGCAGGAGCAGCATCTGCAGAAGGTGAATGCCAGAATAAGTATTTGAGGAAATCGGCAGGCTTTGTCACCTGAATTTAAATTGTCCACATCCAACTGAAGAGGAGCTTTGTATCATGGTGAAAGGAGTTTTTCAAGCTCTGATTCCTCCCAAGTTTCCAGCAGTGGCTCTCGCTGGCTGGATATCTGGGACAGTTTGCTTGCTGTAGTGTAAGTGCAGTAAATGAAATGATGTGCTACACTCCACGTGCAAGAGTCCGTGTCGCTTGTCACTCGTTCACAGATCTCACTGAAGTGGGTGATTTGTACCTGAATCCGGGAGCTGTCAGCCCCACGCTTGGCTCTCCCCTCCTCCCCGCCAGCACTGTCACTTTTCATTAGACATGGATAAATGGCACAATCACAACACTGCCATTTACTGCAAGCCCAATAGAGGGGACACATGGCGAACCGTCAGCTGGCTGATTCCTCATCATCTATTTCAGTTAGATTTCGGAGATGAGCAGCCAGGACTGGGGAAGTGAAGGGAGCAGAATCTGGAATCTGTCCACCATATTCGTCCCAAAATTACACCCAGCACATCCAACAGATGTAAGAGGCCTTGGGTGATCACTGCAGAATGATCTGAAACAAAGACGTGTGTCCAGAGTATCTCCATAATTCTGCTTAATCTCTTCAGCAGCCCATAGATTTCCTGGTTTTATTCCCTTATATAGCTCTGGCTTTATAGAGAACACTAAGCCATTCATTTCAGTCTCTGCACCAGAGAAGCTTACGCTCTAATGTCCGCACCACAGTCTCAAACTTTTACTATACAGTTTTACAGCTCTGATCTGTTGTTATCCATTTTATTGCTATTTTTATTATTATACAGGATTTATATAGCGCCAGTAGTTTGCACAGCACTTTATAACCTGAGGGCAGACAGTACAGTTACAATACCATTTCATACAGAAGGAATCAGAAGGCCCTGCTCATTAGAGTTTACAATCTAAAAGGGAGGCTCAAGTGATCCAAAAGGAAATAACTGTGGGGGAAGAGCTGATGGAGAAAATAAGATTACAATTGTTAGGCGGAGGCAAGATAGGCTTCCCTGAAGAGAAAAGTTGTCAGGGATTGCGTAAAAGTGGACAGAGTAGGAGATAGTCGGACAGCTTGGGGTAGGGAATTCCATGGGAAGGGAGAGGCTCGGAATAAGTCCTGGAGACGAGCATGGGAGGAGGTGACAAGGGAACTAGAGAGCAGGAGGTTTTGAAAGGAATTAAGCGAACGGTTTGGTTAGTATTTGGTGTTCTGGATTGGTGTTCTGTAGTGTTGTACAGAGAGCACTGAGCCATTCACATCCATCTCTGCACCAGAAGAGCTTACATGTCCCCACCACAATCATACACTATTATAATGATACATGTATATAGCGCTTATATTCTGCGGTACTGTCACACTATAAGGCCTCGTGCACACTGAGCTTTTGCTCAGCTCCCCTGAACAATGCGGGAGAAAATGTATTTATTTATTTATTACAGGTACTTATATAGCGCCGTCAATTTGCACAGCGCTTTACATATATATTGTACATTCACATCAGTCCCTAACCCTCAAGGGGAGTACAATCTAAGGTCCCTAACTTACATTCATACACATACTAGGGCCAATTTAGACAAGAACCAATTAACCTACCAGCATGTCTTTGGAGTGTGGGAGGAAACCGGAGTACCCGGAGGAAACCCACGCAGGCACAGGGAGAACATGCAAACTCCAGGCAGGAGGTGCTGTGGCTGGGATTCGAACCAACGACCCTAGAGTCATGTTTTGCACATGTATTTTGGTGTGTCAAGCACTTGAGCATTTATGGGTTCCATTGACCAGAATATTAATTTATTTTGGCCATTGGAATGGATGCTCGAGTGCTAAATGCGCCTAGCGTCTAGATGCATATAGGCTCGTCAAGTTCTTTTTCTGCCCAAAAGCCTTCTCTTGAACACGTTGACTGTGTTTTTTTTTTTTTTTTTGTTCCTGCCTGTTTCTCTTCTAATACACCTGTAAACACATATGTGTGCATGGATGCATAAACTAACTTAGAGCTTTGTTTACAGGCCAAGAAAAAAAAAATTAACCTCCTGTAAAATATGTGTTTTTTAGGCCCAGTGCAAAAGAGCCCTTACTTTACTATGATTTGGAGCTTGTGCAGGGCTATCTCTCGTTGTTCCTGCCAGTTGAATGCAATGGCAAGGGAATAAAGTGAAAATACATACAGGGCCGCCATCAGAGAACCTGTTGCTTTCTTCCCGTAGGGTAAATGTTGGACTGAGTAGCGGGATCCATAAGATGTCAGCCTAAACCAGTCTTTCTCAACTCCAGTCCTCATGGACCCCCAACAGGTCATGTTTTCAGGATTTCCCTCAGATGAAACAGCTGTGGTAATTACTAAGGCAGTGAAACTGATCAAATCACCTGTGCAAAATAATGGAAATCCTGAAAACATGACCTGTTGGGGGTCCATGAGGACTGGAGTTGAGAAACACTGGCCTAAACCATTGCACTACTCCCCTGCTTTCTTCTCTATTGCTGGAACTATAATTGGGGAAAAAAGTACTTCTAGATATGGCGGTTTCTTAGTGTAGATGAGCTTTTAAGTTTTCATTTTTTTGGGGTTTCAATAGGTTCATAAGTGGCATTAATAAGTTTATATATAAGAATCTGACACATGCAAACAGCCTGTGTTTTTTATAATATACTCATAGCGTGACATACAGAAACACTTTGCAGAGATATTGCTTGTCTCTGACTAATGTCCGTCTCTACTTTTATTCCACAGGATATTGATGGCAATAAGGTTGTCTCTTCGTTTGCCCCACACATCTCAGCTACCTCACCCATGAAGGCCGATGAAGGTGGAAGGCAAAGTGGCGAGTCTGTGACAAATAATTCCCTGGGAACACCTGAGAGGCGCAAAGGTAGCTTAGCAGACGTGGTGGACACGCTGAAACAGAGGAAGATGGAGGAGCTGATTAAAAGCGAGCCAGAAGGTAAGACCGAAGTGTGAGGTCTACTGCAGACTTGTTATACGCTGTGCCTATCATTGAATGTGATATTATATTCAGGCAGATGAGGATTGTATTCTATGCCATCAGTAGATTTGTTTACTGGGTAGTAACCAAATATTATGGTTAAAGGATAAGTTCACCTTTTGGACAAAAATAATAAATGCTAATTTTTTGTGCTGGTAAAAAAATGTGCATTTATTATTCTTTTTGTCCAGAGGAGCCTGTAAAGCACTGCACCAGCGATCAGTAAATCACTGATGCCATGCAGGTCTCCTGCAGACCTGTAAGAATATCTGCTTGCTGTACAGGATGTATGAGCAAGCAGACATACTGACTGGAAGCATCAATTAACTACCACGGTGCTCGACAGCACCGTGGTAGTTCATGGACAACTACATGCCCACAGCCGCTAAAGCTTCCGGGACTTGTAGGCACTCATTCACAGAACACTGTGAATGATTGACGTGACTGTGTAGGCAGAGCCCTGCACGGCCACGCTGTTTTCAAATCTGAAAGATAGTATAGGGAGAAGTTTCCCCATACTATCTGTCGGGGGGGGAGCGGTTGCGGCTATGGGAACATGTTACATGTTCCACCTTAAAAATGCGTGGAACATGTAACATGTTCCAAAGGTGATTCATTCCTTTAAAGAGAACCTGTTATCTCCCACAGCAAGAGGCTGCCATTTCTGGACTCTTGGAAGTTGTGCTGGTTCCAGGACTATCATACACACTGAAATGACCCCTGAATCAGAACCACCTTCCGAAGGCCTGAGTAGCCCAAGCAGCTGTAGTGCGAAACGACTATCACGGTTTTGAGTTCCTGATTCTGCAGACCTGATTGGTCATTGGCCATTTGTGATGCACCGTAGAAGCTGTATGGCTGATGGTGATGCCATCATCCACCTTCATGTTATTGAGTGAGCTATATTGGCTGACCTCTTCTAGAGAAAATTCTGGTTTCCTTGCTGTTGTACTGATCCCCTGGATTTATTAATTTTTTGAGTCACCTATTACAAATTTGCAGATCACTATCATTTTAGTGGCTGCATTCATTTTTCAGGTCAAAGTAGTGGATCCAGTGCAAGCCAGGTAAATAATATTTTCAGAAGGAGGCCAACCCTTATATTTTTTTTTCACTTCTGTTTTTCTTCAGACTATTTTACTTTTTGCGATGTTTCATGAAATGTATGAGATCATGGACGGAATAGATGCAGCTAATTTTCTATGGTGTACGCAGCTATAAATGCGGTTCTACATAGATGTGTAGAATCCACACTTGTGTTGGCAGAGGGCTCTAAGGGGCGGAGCTTTGGTTCATAATAAATTATCAGGGGTGGAGCTTTGTTGATGATTTCAGAATAAATCCTCAGGGTCAGAGCTTTTTTTGGTGTTTCATAATAAATTCTCGGGGCAGAACTTTGTTAATGTTTCAGAATACATCCTCAGGGATGGAACTTTGATGGTGCTTCAGAATAAATGTTTTTGTGAATAAAATTGCATCTTTTCTGCTAATTATTAAAAGGGTATTGACTGGTTTGTGAACTGCACCACATTCACTCCTATAGCTCACATGGCAGATCGCACTGATAGTTTCCTTTCATTCGCTGAGACTTATTGTGCATGCATGACTTTTTCTGTGTTTACCCATGCATTTCTAATGGACCTGAAAACAGCATGGAACCCTAATACAGCACAAAACATACACTCATCTACACCAGTGTGGTGGTGAAAAGAAAAGGGTCAGATGCTGGACCTGTGTTGGGAACCCCGAAGAATAGGATGGTTGCACTGCAATAAAAAAAAAAAAACATGCACACCAATGCATGTCTTTCCATGAAGATTTGCATTACAACATGCTCTATAACACACGCTCAGATGTGAATGTGACCTGTTGTGGCCACGCTTGCAGCATGTTGGGTTCGTACTTGCTGAGGTTTTTCCTTATTTAAACTTTACATTATGACTTGTAGGGGGTGGGGGGGGGGGTATAGCAGATGCTTAGCATGGAAGATCACTGGTGAATTGTGGAGAAGGGAAAGCTGCATTTTCAATCCAGTTTATTCCTAGTATGTGCTGGTTGGCCTTCAGCACTTGACTGTGCTATGGACAAAATGTTTGATAATAATCCCCCTTCCCGAGTATGAACCGGTGAGGATAAATATACAGGGACTGATTTGTTTTCAAAGTTCCAGACTTTAGGGGTGTCATGTTCTTGCTTTATTGCTTGATGAGTCCCTAACCTGAAATGGGTTTGTACATATCATATGTCCCAAACTTCACTAGTTTCTTCTTTGATTAGGGTTAGAGACTGCTAAGTAGTGAAGAAAAGTTAAAGATGGCATTAGTGATGATTTCTATATTCCTATCATTTCTTTAAAAATTAACTCCCTGCAAACAGCTGAATAAACAATGAAATCCTTATATGGGGGTTCCTTTACCTGCCAAAGGGTTTCATTTCTTGTCATTCAGTCTTGAGGTTTACACCTTTGTCACACAGCATAGGCAGGGTCTGCAGACCTGCTTTTTCTATGTTGCAGTTCTACTTTCACTTAGAGATCTTGTCCCACCTCCAACCTGTGACTGAACAGTGATAAAAGAAGCAGAATACTGAAGAGCTTATCTTTATCACTCTGCTCTCTCTTCCTGTCAGCATATTCCTTCGCACCAAGTCTGCAACAGGACTTATTGGCTCCTTCCCCCTCCCCTAAGTCTGAGCTCTGCTGTACAGGGACTGCAAGAGGCTGACAACCAGTCACAATCAGGTATTTTTCACTGTTTGTATTTGAAAAATAAACCTCCAGTGATATATTCATGAATACAGAGGAGAGATGTAGACGCAGTGATTTGTAGTTGAGATTTGCAGATAGCAAAGACTTGTCGTGGAAATCTTCCCGTTTCCTGTTGCAGCTGATTGACAGGCCACAGTGGGTTGGAAATTCCTGCCATAGCTGTGTTTTAATCCTTCTTGTGACAGGCTCATGAAGCTTTTGTGTGGGGAGGCAGAGGTCGTATTGAAGTGTTTACAATGACTTTGTGTACTTTCGTTATGACACAAAGCTCACTGTTGCAATAGTTTGGCACTTTGCGTTGTTTGCAGCCCGCTGCATTGTCCTCCATAACAAAAAGCAGAGAAGACGGGGGATTAGGTTTCTGTTTGCGTAGGGAGCAGACGCGGCCGGTCTGTGGTGCGCATGGACAGATTTGCTGTAGGACATCACTTGTTAGCGGTGAGGGCAGCCGAGACCGCCATCGATGGAAGTCATCCTGTTTTCCACACACAATTGTTTTGAAGATCAAGATGTTTATTTTATCTTTTCTTTGTCTTTTGTGTACTGTAAACATTGAGAGCTAAATCCATAAGGTATTCTTTATTCTTCATCTGTAACCTGTTCATACAGTGGGTGCTGTAAATTCTACTTGTCTTTTCCACAATCCTTCTCTGCCCTGCAGCTGTCTTCTATCCTAAAAAGACCACACACAATGCAAACTTTTTGTCTTGGTGACCATCATCACTGGGACTGAATGTGACTGGAAATCTAGAAATGTTGTCACTGGAACAGGAAGTGAGGTGAAATCTTCCATTGGGGACCCCTGTTGTAATGACAGCTGTCTAAGAGGGGATTTGCTCTCACTATAGAAAGATTTGCTTTCTGTTGTGTCTCTAGAATATCAAATGATGGACCTATCTGGAAAGGGACGCAGACAGCAATAAAAGCCTTTGGATCTAAGATTGAAATGCCACACCACAAATGAAAAGTCGATATACAAATATATTCCAATGGAAGATCAGGTTAAATAAGGAAACCAAAGTGCTTTGAGGGTCCACAATTGCTTCCTTCATCAGGTGGTTTTGGTAGGAATCTGCCAAACCAACTGCTGAGCCCTGGGCACTATACTGGTCACAGTACAGTTAACCATGTGCCCTCTATTCAGTCCTTATACATGGTTTCTTATCATTAAATTTGTTCTAAAAAAAAAAATGACATATGTATGATGCAGTCTGTCACTAACATAAACAAAGCAGTCTTTTGTTTTTCTGAGTGGCTCCTACCCCCCTTTTTACCTGTCAATCCTGTTGTAATTTTTCAACTTTCTCTAGCAGACCAAGCTGTGTAGCAGAATTGGAAGTTAGAGGGTTGAGACAAACCATTTACCACTGACACGTGTTCAAAACGTGGTGCAGAAATGGCTCGTTCCATGCCCTACCTAGAGTCATGAATTTTTAGTGGCACCCCAAATGCATCTTTCATATACAGCATGTAATGCTTGCACTATTTTTTTTCGCATTCCAGTTATTTTTGCAGCCCATTCAAATGGATTGGCTGTCAAAACTGCACTGCACAGGAAAGCACGCAATTAGTTGTGAACCAGCCCTTATCCTTTTTGGAATAAAGTTTTTAAGTAAATGAATAAGATAGGATCCGGACAAGATTCAATCCATCTCTGGGCAGGCTGGTTGTACTAAAGTCCATCTATCGATCGACTTCAGTACAACCAGCCTATCAGATTTTTTTGCATGCGATTACTGCCAGCACCTGTGGTCACTAGCAATGATCATTGTGTTCTGCCTGAAAGGCTTCCCACTGGCAGAACACAATAGTGCTGCGGGAGGCAATCCCGTATCAACACTGTCTGTGTTGATAGGAGAATCCAGCAATTTTCAAATAAACGTTGCATCATCTAAGGGCCTGCCTTAATCACTTATGTAAAGCTCATCTAGCACTACCCATTTCAGACTGCTGCTGTCCAACAGTGGCTCCATTGCTCTTCTATAGATAGAAGAGCTACTCTAATGCAGGCCATAGATGGGGAGAAAAACTGCAGATTTTTCTTTTAAAAAACGAAAAATCGGTTGTTCAAGTGGCCGACGTTACCATCAATGGTAAAAAAAATCGGCCGATTTTCTACCCGTCTAGAGCCGGCAAAAAGTGTCCCTGCAGAGTTTCTTTGACAGTTCTCTGACAGTTCCTTGACATTTA